ATTCCTCTTCACATCTGCTCTGATTTAAACAGCTCCTCTAGTTTCTGTGGATAAATCTGATAAACACGGTTGAGCCTTAGCCCCACGTTTCATTTGTGAAAGCAGGCAGGTTTACCTGAAACAGGGTAAACAACCCTGTGATGATTCCCCTGAGCTGCGTTGGAAGCTCACACTGTAACGTGATGTGTAATCACACGAGTGATTGAAGCTGTGCAGAGTTATGAAGCAGCATGTCCCAGTATTCATCTTCTTAAAAATATTTGTACCATAAAGCTGCTGAAAGTCATTAAGTCTTCTTGTTTTATCAATGTGTCCTGCTGAGTCAGCACCAGTCTCTGTTTGCTGACACATCAGTGTCATATCAGGTTACTTTGCTCTTTCCTCCTGTTCCTCTTTTTTACGCCACCATGTCCAGCATGGAGGTGTGGTGCTGCTTTCTGATTGGCTGGACTGTGGCTGGTCTGAGCTCTTTCAGAGACTCTGGAGCTCTCTGATTGTTTACCAGGAGATGAAAGCATGAGCAGCTTTTAAATCAAACTTTATTCAGTCTTAAAATCTGCTCTGAAACAAACAGGAGGCAGTAACCTGCAGCCAGGTTTGATACGTTCATAGTTTAAGTGCTGATGACGTAAAGTCCCGCAGCGTCCAGCAGGGGGCGTCAGAGCGCTGCTCCAGTGCCTCAGCATGAGGGAGATTCATGGACACAAACAAACACACAGCGCGCGCACGGACACGAGGACATGTTTCACTGCTGCTGGGACACGTTTTTAGTGTTTTTTAGGATCACGTGATTCCACCGTACTTTAAACGTCCAGCGTGTGACGTCATGAAGGATTTTAATCTGGAAGTTTCTGATGAGACTCTTTAAAAAGTTTATGAATGGATTATTCAGTGACTGATGAGTGTTTGTGTTGCATTACATGTATGTTCATGTTAAAATGATATAATAAAACTAAGTCAAAGTGTTTATTTGTCTGATTTTGTGGTGATTTGAAGTGTTCATCTTCTTCATTTTCCATTTTTATTTATTTATTTATTTGCATCCTGTTGTTGCTTTCTGAACACGCGGTTGTGATGAACGTGTTTTCTGTCCTCTTGTGATCATTTGGAAACGTTTTAATTTTCTTGTGTGACGTTTCTCTGAGCTTGTTTTGTGTTTTTATCGTTGTTCAGTCTCTTTGGGTCGCTTTGTTCCTTTTTCATCACTCGGGCCTGTTTTGTGTTATTTTGTAATTTTCTTAAAGTGCTTTTTGTTATTTAGCATGTTTGTGAGGTTTTTTCTTGTTGTTTTCTTAGAATTCATTTAATGTTTTTTTCATCTCTTTGATCGTTTTAATTATTGTTTGTTCTTGTTGTTCTTGTTTGTGTTTATATAAAGTACTCTATGTTTTCCTCGTATTTACGTGTCTTTCTGATCTCGTGGATCTGTTTTGAGGCCCTTTTTTGATCACCCGGGCTCTCTGGACTAGTTTCGGGCTTGTTTGTTAGTTTGGTGTCATTTTTAAAGTTATTGAATAAATGTCCTTTTGTTTTGAGTCTTTGTCTCTGTGGTGGGGCGTGGTCTGCGGTGGCGTGCAGGGAGGGCGGACGCACCTGCACGGCATCCGCAATCACGCCCGCCACGTTAAAACACGGGGACTCGGGTGTGTGTGGTGTGTGGTGTCGTGAATAAAATGTCCGAAAACACTGATCCCTGGACCCGCCGTGCCTTATTCCTGCCACAGTCTCTTTGAACTGTGGGTCACTGGACTTGTTTTGCAGGTCATCTTGTCACTTGTTGTGTGCGTGTTTGTAATGTGAGTGTTTTTGTGGATGTTTATTACAGCTTACAGTCGGGTTGGGTTTCTTTTCGGGTGTTTTCGGTCGTTTGCGTGTCTGTGGGGTTACTTTGCACCACCTACGCGGTCTTTTGTGTCGTCACGCTGCGTGTCTGTGGGCTGAGGCCGAGCCGGACCTCGGTGCGGATGCAGAAGATCCTCCGGGCTCATTAGAACCTGGTAATACTGACTCGTGTCACGTGGTCAGGTTCAGGGAAACATCCCGTCAGCCAGACGTCCCTGCGCGCTCCTGACTCTCCTGGCAGGAGCGCGCCCGGTCAGGCTCGTGCCCGTCCCCGTGCGGTGGACTGTGAGCAGCGGCAGCGGCAGAGAGGGGCAGCCCGCCGGAGGCACAGAGACCACCGCGTGACTCTCGGTGTCTTCCAGCGGCTTTCGCGGACCTAACGGCTGCCTCTGTGTGGACTTTTCTCGGGGACAGAGGTAGGGGGCTCCCGGCCTCACCTGGACGCTGGTTTGGAGGAAGTTTGCCCCTTCAGCTACGCCGAGAAGCGGAACAATGAGGGAGAGCCAGCCGGGCAGCCAGACCCGAGCTAACGGCTAACAGGGAGCAGCTGGGCGGTGAAAGCGACCAAACTGTCCCGTAACGGATCCTCCCGACACTTTTCCCGCTTCCTCTCAGCGCGTGGACACTTGGACTCGCCGCTCCGGGACTGGCTCACACTTGTGGAGGGACACTTGAAGCCACAACAAGTTTTTTTCTCTGCTTTCGGACATGGAGACGGACTCGCTTCCAGGCGACGTGGATTCTCTGCGCGGCGGGCTGAGCCTCCTGGATCCGCTGGTGGACCGGATCCTGGGGGACGCTGTGTCACAGCAGCAGGGCTGGCTCCGGGTCTACGGTAAGAAAGACACACTGGGGGGGCAGGACCGAGACCCGGCGGCCGGGCGGGTCTCGGGACCGGAGTCAGCAGGTAGAGAGGGCACCGGCCACCTTTCGGATAGCCAGGTATCCGCCTAGAGCCCAGGCCGAGGTCATGGAGGCCACCGGGGGACCGGGAGCTGCAGCTCCGTGAGGTTTCGACTCTTAGACTCCAGACTCTTAAACTGCTCTGGTTCCCTTACACTCTTAATAATCCTTTAAAACTTTCTTGTTCTCTGAAGGTTCAGGGTTTAAAGCTCAGACCTCCTGAAACAGACTTACAGGAAGCAGAAAAGGTCTCACTGAGTTTAGTTTGTCAAAATAAAGCAACAACACTGTTCTTAATCTGCACTCCAAAACAGCTAACCTCAGTAATCTGAATCGGGTCATTTGGTAGTCGGGGACCTCTCAGATTAGATTAGGGTCACACAGTCCTGCATGTCTTCAGGAAGCGGCTCAAAACCACAAAAACGTCCCAAAACATTCAAAGTAACCATACAAATGCCATAAAACAAGAGTGTTCACCACAAAAAACAAAAACAAGTCCCAAGTGACCAAAAAGAGACGCAAGATGAACCAATAAAGATGTTAGATAACTTCAGAAACGCTTAATAATCTCATAATAATCTCATAATAATCAATACATGACGGAAACTAGAGTCTAAAGTGTCCAGATCTTTAGACTGAGACGTAAAGTGATGAGAAAGTGTAAACAGTGGCGTTCGTCCTGAAAGCTGACAGTGTTGAGTTTTATTCACAGTCGCTGATGTTACTGTTATAAAGCGAACAAACCTCAGACACCCACGATAAAGCCACATGAATACAGCCACGAGTTTTCATCTTCCAGTGTGTAGCGAACGAGAAGCTGACAGAAAGGTCAGAGGTCACTGAAACTGTAAGGAGACGTCTTATTCGCAGTCACACGGGGCCGTGTGGGGCTCTGACTCACAGCGGCGTCCTGTGAGGCAGAAAACGGTAACATGACTCAGTTTTTCTGCTCGGACTTCACACGAGAGGCCGGTGCTGCAGCTGCTGGCTCATGTTTCCCTGCAGGACTGCTGCTGCTTCACTTCCTAAAATAAAAGCTTCAGAGCTCTGTGAGACCAAACAGTTTTCCAGGACAGGCGGTCACATGGCGGCGGCGGCGTTGGCGAGGACTGAGGATGCACTGAGTAATCACTGATGGCTGCAGTGAATTACAGAAACTCTTCTGTGTTTATTTAAACTCACCTGAGGGACACGGCCTGCAGGTGATTTAGCCTTTCAGGTTGATGCCTTCAAAGGATCCTGAAAACATGGGAGAAATGGGCGTCTGAGTAGCTGCTCTGAGTTTTGACCCGACGCTGATAAGGATGAGAGAAGAGAATGGATCATGTTGCTTAATGTGACATCAGAGGGTGAATTTGAGTGTTTTTCTCCTTTCAAATCTCCTTTTAGATTCAGAATGGAAAGTCAAGAGTCACACCTATGCAAAACACTCAAAATAACGAAATTAAATTCAAAGAAGTTCAGAATGAGACATAAAGTAACTGGAAAGAGTCTCCAAATGACCACGAACACGTGGAAAGTCATTTCTTAAACACTCAAAATGAACAAAAAAAGAGACAACTGGCCACCAAACAATGAAACACGACTCTAAATCCCACAACATGACGGTAAAAATGGAACAAAAAGATCACAAAGGGATGTAAGCAAAGAAAGCCACAAAAAACAAAGTCAAGAACTACCAGAAAGATGCACAAATTAATAATAATAAGGTGCAAAACTTAAAAACCAGTTCAAAGTGTTGAAACCACCACAGAGTGAAAACACTGAAGAATAGTCTGACTAACTTTAATCACCTTAATGGTCCCAGTTATAAAGTTTAAACTTCTTAATTCATTCAGTCTCAAATCGAGTTTCTTGATGTTAATGTAAGAATAAAGTCGTGTTTGTCACTTTAGTCCTAAAGGCTCCGGCGGTCCATGAACTCATCCCAAACTGGGAATAAAGTGGACGAGTGAGGCTGAGGTGATGGTGACGTCCTGTGAACCGACAGGGTGGAGCATTGGAGGCTGTTACGATCCATCACTGATCACAGACGTGTTCATGAACCTGAGTGATTATAGCTCACAGGCCTGAATGCAGCGCTGCTATCTGCAGCTGCGAGGCTGCATCAGGATGTTTGCTCTTCCTCCTCCACCTCCTCCACCCTCCCGCTGTTGGCAGGCTGTGATGTCAGCAGCCAGTTTGTGCCGGTGATCTCACCGGGCAGGACTCCGGCTCTGGCATCGGGTCCTCGCTGCCCTCCGCGGCTCGCATTCCTCAAATAGATTCAACAATGGCTGCCGCCGTGCTGCCTTCAGGTCCACCTCACTGCAGAAAAATGCAGCGGCGGGTCGTTTGTGTTTTTCTGCTGCATTCACGTGTTACATCAGAGGGTGGGGTCTCCTCCACCCTGCCGGTGTGTTTACAGAGCAGGCTGTGTTGAGTTTGTACTGCTGAGACGCTGCAGCAGCTTCCCGCTCAGACGGGAGGAGGTTAGCGCTCAAAGAACACCAAAACCTGCACTTCCTCTTAACGTCCACTGGAGGCTCCAGCTGTGAGTCTGTCCCACAGATGCCTGTGTTAAAATGTGCAACTTTACAGCAGAAATAAACGTCTTTTTAAAGCCTGATTAAAGTTAGCATTATTAGGGGGTGTGGCCTCTTTGACCGACAGGTGGATGGCGACACAGGCGGCTGTAGCTGCTAGCTCTCTCCTAGCTTTCACCCCTGTACCATGTTGGTGCTGTTGGAGGCTTTTGGAGCATTTTAATGACATCATGTGACCTATAAGGTTGTGTGTTACGTTGTGTTTCAATAACTTTATTCGTGGTGGGCGTTCTGCCCTGATGGATGTGCGACACTATGAAGCGATGAAAGAGCGATCGATGCGAGACGTTGATCAAACTGCAGGTGAAGCTCTTCCTGCTGCCGCTGTGTGAATCCAGCGTCTCTCTGAGAGCATCCACAGAGTGCATTATCCAGAGAAAGGCTGCTGTACGTAAGCCTATTAAAGCTGACCGCAGACAGACGCTTAAACACATCACAGAGCCTCCTCCTCCTCCAGCCCACCGGCTGAAAGTGTCAGGAGTTAACGCGAGGACGTCACGGATTAATCGTCAGGCCGCTCCGAGGATTCATCCGGAGAAGAAACGATGAAGAAATTCAACACTGGCTGCAGCTGAAACGTGAAAACCTGTTGGAGGTGTCTGGACAGCAGACTCGCGCTCCGAAGGTTTCCCTCCTCCTGCTGTCATGTTGAAACCCCACTGAGGTTCTCAGCCTCCATATTGGACGGGGATTCTGGGAGTTTGCTGTCGGTGAGCCCATTCACACCTGAGCTTCCTGCGGGACTGACGGGACGTCACGTTGCTCTGAGGCTGCACGTGAGGAACGAGCAGAAACGGATGTTTTCTTTGGCCGAGTCTGTTCTGTAAAAAGTGTAAAGCTGTCGTGAGTGGGTGCTTTCCCAACTTTTGGGATAAATATAGTAGATCTTATCTTGGAAAACAGGATGTTTA